CAAGAAAAGAAAAGAATGAATAAAAATCGGAAAGGGAAAAGAACAGCAAAGTTCCCAGGGATCCCACCAGTGCGGCTATGAGGTCTGGGGAAGTTGTTCTCAGGTGTTGCAGTACAGCCTGGCTAGAAGGCGTGGAGGTATACAACGCCAGGTATTCAGGGAACAGAAAGAGAAGGAAGATATAGAGGGACGAGAAACTGAGTAATGAAGAGAGACAAAAAGGGAAAAAGAGGGAAAAGAAAACAGATTAAAAAAAAAAAAAAGAACAAGAAAAGCCCCCAAAAGACAGGGGAAAAAAAAAAAGAAAAGAAAACAACAAAAAAAGAAATGCTCTCAGGGATCAGTCTGCATGTCTGTGCAAGCCAAAGGGTAGGTTCCAAGCCATGCAGCACCGCCTGTCCAGAACGGGCTCCCAACTCAAGAAAAGGAAAAGAAAACAAACAAACAATTCAAAACAAACAAATAAACAAAAGCCTCGGGGTCCCACCAGCGCGGCAGCCCAGACCGGGAAACAGCTCCACACTCAAACGGAGTTCTGCAGCCCCTCAGGAAGAAGCAAAGATGGTGCATGGAGCCAGGTATTTGAGCGAAAGGAGGGGGAGGTGGTGAGAGGCAAGGAAGAAATCAAAAGAAGCAGGAAAAAAAGCAACACCAGCAGCCAACAAATGGCACTCAGAGAGCCAGCTAGTGCGGGCTGGTGGAATCCAAGCAACCAGTGCTTCCCGGACCAGAGACTGTGTCCGCGGGAAGCAGAGGAGGCCAAGTGTGGGTGAAGAAGGGTAGGGGGTAAGAAAGCGTATATCATAAATTACTGGAGCTCCGCAGCCCCTCAGGAAGAAGCAAAGATGGCACACGGAGTCAGGTATTTGAGCGAAGAGTGGGGGCGGGTGGTGAGAGGTAAGGAAGAAATCAAAAGAAGCAGAAAAAAGCAACACCAGCAGCCAACAAATGGCACTCAGAGAGCCGGCCTGTTCAGATGGCGGGAATCCAAGCAACCGGTGCTTCCCGGACAAGAGATTCTGGCTGTGGGAAGCAGAGGAGGCAGAGTGGGGGTGAAGAAGGGTGGGGGGCGGGAAAGCGTATATCGCAAATTACTGGTTGTTTTGTCTCCCGCTGGAAGCATCATGAAGCTGCTTTCTCGTACCCCGTTTCCTGGCCTCCGATAGAAGTCCAAGATGGTGGATCCGCGCTGCGTTAGCTGATAGGGGACCTCTGCCTGAATCTCTCCTCGCTCTCCGTTCTCTGTCAGTTTTCTCACTCCATTTGGTGCTTGGCTGAGTTCTTTATCTCTTCATTTAATGTTTTAGGGTTTCAGGATTGTTGTTTTCTCTGTTAGGCTTAGTTTTTTGGATCTTTGCTGTGGAGGGATGGCATGGTGCTTCTGCTTAGAGCACCATTTTGCCAGAAGTCCCAACGGTGTTTTTTAATGAGATTGAGAAACAAATCACCAACTTCACATATGGAAAGGGAAGAGGCCCCGAATAAGTACAGCATTACTCAAGAAGAAGAACAAAGCGGGAGGCCTCATGCTACCTGATTTTAGAATGTATTATACCGCCACGGTAGTCAAAACATCCTGGTACTGGTAAAACAACAGAGACATAGACCAATGGAACAGAATTGAGAATCCAGACATAAATTGATCCACCTATGAGCTGCTGATATTTGACAAAGGCCCAAAGTCCATTAATTGGGGAAAAGACAATCTCTTTAACAAATGGTGCTGGCATAATTGGATATCCATCTGCAAAAAACTGAAACAACACCCATACCTCACACCATGCACAAAAACTAACTGAAAATGGACCAAAGACCAAAATACAAAATCGAAAACAATAAAGATCATGGAAGAAAAAACAGGGACAACGCTAGGAGCCCTAATACATGGCATAAACACAATACGAACCATAAGTAACAATGCACAAGCACCAGAAGAGAAACTAGATAACTGGGAGCTCCTAAAAATAAAACACTTATGTTCATCAGAAGAGTTCACCGAAAGAGTAAAAAGACAACACACAGACTGGAAAAAATCTTTGGCTACGACAAATCCGATCAGCATCTAATCTCGAAAATTCACAAGATACTGCAAAACCTCAACAACAAAAAGACAAATAACTCAATTAAAAAATGGGCAAAGGATATGAACAGGCACTTCACCAAAGAAGACATTCAGGTGAGTAAACAGACACATGACAAAATGCTCATGATCATTAGCCATTAGAGAAATGCAAATCAAAACTACAATGAGATACCATCTCACCCCAACAAGGCTAGCATTAATCCCAAAACCACAAAATAATAAATGTTAGAGAGGTTGTAGACAGACTAGAACACTTATACACTGTTGGTGGGAATGTAAAATGGTACAACCACCCTGACAGGAATCACAACAGAGTCCCTGACGGAGCAGGAGAAAAGTAGGGTGCAGAACTCAAATTCTAGTAAAAAGACTAGACTTAACCGCTTGACTGAGACTGGAGGGACCCCGGAGGACATGGCCCCTGGACTCTCCATTAGTGCGAAACTAAAACCATTCCTGAGGCCAACTCTTCAGACATTAGACTGGACTATGGGACATAAAATGATACTCGTGAAGAGTGTGCTTCTTAGCTCAAGTAGATACATGAGACTAAATGGGCAGCCCCTGTCCAGAGGCGAGATGAGAAGGCAGAAAGGGTCAGGAGCTGGTTGAATGGACACGGGAAATCCAGGGCGGAAAGGAGGAGTGTGCTGTCACAGCATGGGGAGAGCAATTAGAGTCACATAACAACGTATGTATAAATTTTTGCATGAGAGACTAACTTGAACTGTAAACTTTCACTTAAAGCACAACAATAAAATAAAAAAAGAATTTGAGTTCTGTTCCGCGTTTTTCTCCCATTCTATCTGGGCCCATCCATGGGGTTTTCAATGACTGATTTTTTGGAAGTAGATTGCCAACCTTTCTTCTGAGGTGCCTCTGGGTGGACTCGAATCTCCAAACTTTCCGTTAGCAACTAAGTGCATTTACCATTTGCACCACCCAGTGACTAGATATTTACATACTTATATACAAATTCTACTTTATTTTTTTACCTTTCCATTATAAAATGAAACCACGGCGGGGCGGGGAGGACAAAAAACAAAAAATGGGCAAAGCAACTGAGTAGACTTTCCACCGAAGAGGAATATACAAATGGCCAACAAGCACATGAAAGATGCTCAGCATCATTAGTCACTTGTTGTCGTTGTTGTTAGGTGCTGTCAAGTTGGCTCTAACTCATAGCAACCGTAGGCACAGCAGAACGAAACACTGCCTGGTCCTGCGCCATCCTCACAATTGTTGTTATGCCTGAGTGCATTGTTGCAGCCACTGTGTCAGTCCATCTTGTTGAGGATCTTCCTTTTTTCACGTTCCCTCTACTTTACCAAGCATGATGTCCTTCGCCAGGGAGATGCAAATCAAAACCACAATGAGATACCACTTCACCTCCACGAGGATGGCAATGATCAGAAAAACAGAAAATAACAAGTGTTGGCGAGGATGTGGAGAAACTGGCACCCTCATCCATTTCTGGTGCGAATGCAAAATGGCGCAGCGGCTGAGGAAAACAGTTTGGAGGTTCCTCAAAAAGTTAAACGTAGAATTACCATATGACTGAGCAAATCCACTCCTAGGTAGGTACCCGAAAGACTTGAAAGCAGGGATGCTGACAGATACTTGTATGCCAGTGTTCACTGCAGTGCTATTAATAATAGCCAAAAGGTGGAAACAACCCAAATGTCCATCAACAGATGAACAGATAAACAAAACGTGGTGGATAATCACAATGGAATATTAATCAGCCATAAAGAGAAATGAAGTTCTAGTACATGTTGCAACATGGATGAACCCTGAAAACACTACGCTGAATGAAATAAGTTAGATACAAAAAAACAAATATTGTATGATCCCACTTACATGAAATATTGGGAACAGGCAAATGCAGAGAGACCCAAGTTTACTAGGGGAAGGGGGAGTTATTGTTTAACGGGCACTGAGTTTCTGTCAAGGGTGATGAGAAAACTTGGAAACAGACAGTGGTGATGGCTGTACAATGTGATGAATGTACTTAATGTCACTGAATTATATATGTAAAAAAAAAAGGCTACACTGGCAACTGTTAATATATATTTGTACCACAATAAAAAAATAATAAAAAGACTGTTGCTTCTGTCTTGGGTGTTCTCTTTCTCCCCTGTTCCTCACTCTGGGTGAAGCCAGCTGCCATGGTGGGAGTAGCCCTATAAGGAGGTCCACATGACCATCAATATGGCTCCATCAACATGGCTCCATCAACAGCCAGCGAGGACCCAAGACCTGCCAACAGCCACGTGAGCAAGCTTGGAAGGGGAGCCTCCCCAAGTCGAGCCTTCAGATAAAACCCCAGCCCCAGCTAATACCTTTATTTCAGACCCTGAGCCACAGGACCCATCTAATTTACACCCAGATTCCTGATCTGCAGACACTGAAAGATAAAAAATGTGTGTTGTTTTAAGCTGCTAAGTTTTGGGTAATTTGTTATGCAGCCGTAGATAACTAAAAGGCCCAGAGAGATTAAGCAAGCTGTCCAAAGTTATTCAGCCACAAATCCAGGAGTATTTGGCCCAAATCTGTGCTTTTAACCTTTCCCCAACATGGCCCTCCTTATCTCCCTCAACTTAAACGGATGTGCAGAGGACATATCACCATGAGAAGTTAAAAAACTCATTGCTGTCAAGTCGATTCTGACTCGTAATGACACTATAGGACAGAGCAGAACTGCCCCATAGTGTTTCCAAGGCTATAATTTTTATGGAAGCAGATTGCCACATCTTTTTCCCAAGGAGCGGCTAGTAGGTTCAGACGACCGACCTTTTGGTCACGTGCTTAACCACTGCACCACCAGGGCTCCTCCCGTGAAAAGTTACAAACCTAAAACACTTTCCCCAAGGACAACATCACCTGCCACAGGCTGGTCTCAGGGAAACTCACCCACCTGTTGTCAAAGAAGGCATGGATGATTTTGGATCGGATTGGATTGAGCTCCAGGTCAGGGACTTTGTTGAAATTCTCCTTGCTAGTTTCCAAGGGGGGAGAGATGCCCGGAAAAAGAGCAAAAAGAGAAAGCAGACATCAGATGGTTTTGTCTTCACTTATCAAGCTGTATTTTTATCCCTAGCAGGTCCCACGGGAACAGTTCAGAGTTAGAGAAAGGAATGGAGTATGCCATATTTCTCTGTCCACCTCTCATATGCTATGTGGGGAGGTTCAGGACGCTCAAACATGTCTTTTAGAATCTGATCAACACACTGGACATTCAACCCCAGAAAAATGCAGAGACATGGAATATGTACCCTATTCCAGGGGGTCAGAGACCACCTGGGGCCCAGTGAGACTCCAGGGAAGGAAATTCTGCTTTGGCTGCTCTGGACTGAGAGCAGCAGGATGCTGGTGTGGAGTTGTGCACCACACTTTGGCAGGCCCTCCGAAGTCTAAGCACCAAATTACCATATGACCCAGCAATGTCATTCCTAGGTATGTACCGAGGAGGAATGAGAACATATGTCCTCCCAAAAACTTGTATATCAATGTTCACAGCAGCACTGTTCATAATAGTCAAAAAGTAGACACAACTCAAATGTCCATCAATGGATGAATGGATAAAATGTAGTCTATCCATACAATGGGATATTATTTGGCCATAAAAAGCAATCGAGTGTTGATACATGCTACATGGATGAACCCTGAAAACATTATGCTGAGTGAAAGAAGCTAGACAGAGAAAAACACATATTGTATGATTCCATTTATATGAAAAGTCTAGAGTAGGAGGCAAATCTATAGAGACAGAAAGATTAGTGGTTGCCTAGAGCTTGGGGAAGGAGCTCTGGTGGCATAATGGTTAAGGTACTCAGCTGCTAACCAAAAGGCTGGTGGTTCGAACCCACTAGCCACTTCACAGGAGAAAAGACCTGGCAATCTGCTCCCATGAAGATTTCAGCCTAGGAAACCCGATGGGGCAGTTCTAGCCTGTAGGGACCTACAGGGTCGCTAGGAGTTGGAATCGACTAGACGGCACACAACAAGGGCTTGGGGTAAAACGGAAGTGAATGCTAATAGACACAGGGTTTCTTTTAAGCAAGACAAAAATGGTCTCTAATTAGTCTAATTAGATTGTGGTGATGCTTGAATAATTCTGTAAAGATACTAAAAACCATTGAATTTTACACTTTAAATGGACAGATTTTATGGTATGTAAATTATATCTCAATAAAGCTCTTTTAAAGAAAAAGAAGACAAAGAGTAAGATGCTGGCTTGGGGAGGGAGTGGCTGCATTTCAAACACAGAAGTGCTGCAGCTGGGCCTGTGTTGCTGGCTCTCAGGGGCTGTGGGTTTGGCAGGTACCAGTCTAGATGAGTCCCTTACCTGCCTGCCCTTCTCCCTTGACCTTCCCACATAAGGCCATCCTTTGTTCTCAGAATCTGCTTCCTGCTCACCTTTTTCTTCTGGTCCAAGGACTTCAACAGCAGTGGCCTTGGAAGAGGCCCAGACCACAGGCTGGTAATCTTGAGGAACCAACAGGCGTGCCCAGGAGCGAGAGGTGCAAGGAAGTCAGCTGACTTAAAATAGAAACTCCCAGGGTGGGAAATGCGGGAGGGGGTGGGATGTTCATCAGCACTTGGGACTCAAAAACAGAACCAACTGATACTGGCAAAGGGCGAAGAGCCACATACGTGTCTTGTCTGCACAGAATCACACACTGTGTGAGCTGAAGGCTCTGTAAACACAGTGCTTTGCCCTTCCCCCACGTCACAGATGAAGAAGCTGGGGCCTAAGAGAAGAGAAGGCTGTCCCAATCCTGGCTTCCTCTGTGTCTCTCCGCCCAGCGCTGCTTCCTGTCTCTCCCACCCTCGCCCCTGGCCTGGCTTTCCCGTGGCATCTGGCCAAACATAAGAGCTGGTGCCAGTGGACGCCAACACCTTAAATCCTTGAGAGCCCAGCTCCAGAGAAGGTGGCCCGCTCAGGACACCTGGCCCGGGGCAGAGCTGGTAACAGTTGGGTTTCCGTTCTAAGTGCAAGGGTGGGAGGGAAGCAATGTATCTTCAGGATCCACCCACCCGCCCTTCACCTGCCACAACCTGTATGTTGGTGGTTGGAACCTGTACAATCCTAGTGTCCCCCAGAGGGGCTGGGGTGGGGATGAGGCCCACAGCAGTTCACTTTGATCTGTTCTATGGAGTGCGGTTTCTCACCAGATTATATTTGAGGAAAGGATTCTCCTGTTTAAAAAGTAAAAATTCTAAAAAACCACAGCCAACCACCATCCGTCTGTCAGTTTGTTGTACTGTGGTAGCTTGCATGTTGCTGTGATGCTAGAAGCTATGCCACTGGTATTTCAAATACCAGCAGGGTCACTCATGGTGGACAGGTTTCGGCAGAGGTGCCAAACTAGAAAGAAAGGCCTGGCGCTCTACTTCCTAAAATTAGCCAATGAAAACACTATGTATGGACCACAACAGAACATAGTTCGCTACAGTGCTGGAACATAAGGCCCCGAGGTGGGAAGGCACTCAAAATACACAGTGGTCACAACAATGGCCTCAAACATACCACCAATGCTGAAGATGGCACAGCACCAGCCAGTGTCTGAGTTGGAGCCAACTTGACGGCAACTAACAACATAAAAGCCAAAAAGTGAAAACAGTGCAAATTTCCACCAGCTGATGAATGGATAAGATGCGGTATACCCATGCAAAGGAATATCAGTCAGCCTTAAAAAGGAGTGAAGCCTTGATACGTACTACAACACAGATGAATCTCAAAAACTTTGTTAAGTGAAATAAGCCAGACACACAAGGACAGATATTGTACGATCCCACTTAGATGAAATATCTAGAATAGGCAAATGCATAGGGACAGAGAGGAGATTAATGGTTGCCTAGAGGTTACAGGGGATGGGGAGTTGGGCTGTTAATGGCTAAAAGGTATGGAGTTTCCTTTGGAGGGGGATAAAAATGTTCCAAAATTGAGGTACACTTTACATGGGTGAACTGTACATACATTAATTATATTTCAATATAGCTATTATAAAAACATTTCCTTAAACTTAAAAAAAAAAGCAAAAAATCAGTGTACTATGAGTTCATTTACATAAAGAACAAAAAACTGCCCAAGCTAATCTATGCAGTTAGAAGACAGTGGCTAACTGTCCTTAGGGGGTAATGACTGGGAGGAAGCATGGGGGGTTTCTGGGGGCCTGGAATGTTCTGCTCTTGATCTGGGTTCGCAGGTGCGTTCGGTCTGTGAAGTTTCACCTCACTTATGACACACGCATTTTTCACTATGTACATATACTCCCCACTGCACTAAAATTGCATGGCTGTCCTCCCCTCTCTCCTCATTAGTGGGAGGCAACCACAAGAGGAAAAAGATCGGAAAGACAAGAGCCCTCTGGAAAGGAACAAGTCAAGGTTACCAAGAGAGAGGATCAAATTCTCTAACATTGTGATCCGATGACCTAAGAGCTGCAGCTCATACTCATTTTCTCGTGCAGAGGACTTTGCCCGCACCATCTGATTCACCCGTGTAACATCCTGGGTGGGCTCTCGTTATCCCCGACATACAGGCGAGGAGAATGGCACAGAGAGGTTAGGTGTCCAGCCCAAGGTCACCCAGCAAGTGTGGAGGGAAGTCAAGATTTGAATCCAGGACAGGCAAAGCCAGGCTCTTATGTCTGACACCAAGCTGCCCTGCTCTCCCAGGCTGAGCAGAGATTCATTGGCTGAATTCTGGATCCCTGATGGAGAAGGGGGCTGTGTGGAGCATGAAAGGGAGTGTGGGGAGAAAGGAAAGGAAGTAATCCTCCGCTAAGTGACTCACTGGCATGTGAGACCCCAAACCCCTCAGGCTTTCATTGGTGGGGGCCTTGGCTTCTGCTAACCCTCCCTCAACCTCAGTTTCCTCATCTGCGAAGTCGCCATGACGACATTCACTGGGGAGTTGGGGGGAAGGGCACAGCTTCTGGGTCATATCTGGGCTCCACCCAGCTCTGCTGCCTGGGGCAAGTGACTGTGCCTCTTTGCCCCTCTGAGCCTCAGTTTGCTTCTGGTAACAGGCTCCTTATAGGGCTGTTGTATGGATTATGCGAGATAAATCTGATATGCTTAGCGTGATGCTTGGTGAAAAGTAACAACAGGCCTCTCTAAGCCTCAATTTCTCATCTGTAAACTGGCGATCTTTGGAATATCCAAGTAATATCATGGAGTCCCTAAGTGGTGTAAATGGTTAATGTGCTTGGCTGCTAACTGAAAGGTTGACAATTTGAATTCACCCAGAGGCACCCTGGAAGAAAGGCCTGGCGATCTACTTCTGAAAAATCAGCCACTGAAAACCCCACGGAGCACAGGTCTACTCTGACGCACATGGGGTCACCCTGAGTTGGAATTCACTCAGGGGCAACTGGTGTATCATGGGGTTAATAAGAGGGTAAGATAAACCCATGTAAGGTGTTTAGTGTACTGCCTGACACACAGTGACTCTTAATTTTCAATATAATAACAGTAATAATAGCAGCAGCAGTAGTAATACTTGTACTGTAATAGCAATAATAATAGTGCTAACCTTCTCTGCATTTCCAAGGTGTCAGAGGCTATCCTGAGAGCTTCACGCTATTATTTAATGCTCACAACAACCCTACGAGGTAGGTACTGTTATCCCCATTTTAAAGATGAGAAGACTGAGGCAGAGAGGTGAAGAACTTATCGTGACTAGCATAGGTAGTCAGTTGATCGTAAGAGTTAGGTCTTGCTTTGTGGTCCTCGGTGATATCCCCTGACTCTGTCAACCTCCCTCTTCAAGGAAGAGACTGCAGGCCTTGAGCAGGCTAACTAGGCTTTAATAGCGGTTTGATGTTCCCGAAATGCTGGTTTTGGTCTTATTTTCCTTCCTCCTGACCCTCCCCCAGGGGTCCACTGGGCTGGTTGAACTGGCTGGGCCTGGAATCCAGGCTGCAGCCCTGGGAACTGGGAACTGAGAACGAGCCTGCTTTACCAGGAGGGCAGGGCTGGCAAAGGTCG